CCCCCACCCCCACCCCACCACCCCTAGTCCCTGCACACGCTGCAAGCCTCCAGAAAAACAAGCGAGGATTCCGGCCTTAAACTGTATCTTTACAGTACAGTAAAAGAGAAACAAAGCTCCATATCCTTCTTGTGTGACGTCATGTGCCACCAATCAGCTCCATTTCCTTCTTGTGTGACGTCATGTGCCACCAATCAGCTCCATATCCTTCTTGTGTGACGTCATGTGTGCCGTTTCCCTGGGTCACTTCATACTTTTAATCTGCTCCTGTGTTTAAATGGTCTCTTACAGGTTTGAGTTTAAGAGATAACTTTCAGGGTCATTGGGGTATCACTCGGAGGAATGTTTCTCTCTGCTGCAGCTTTTTCTCAGTATCTGTGAGCAGCTTCTCACCAATCCACAATACTAGTAATACTGTCTGTTTCCACTAGAGGGCAGAACAAGTTTAGAATTTCAGATCTGGTACTTTTTTATGTCGAGTAATACCTGCAGAGAACATAAATCAAATGATGCAAGCAATATCGGCATTGTATTGACTTTAGCATAAATTATTTACATTATTATTTTGCAAATAAATAATTCATTTTCCTAACTTACTCTGTCCGTTTCAGTGTACAAATAAGATTTGATTTGAGAACTGTGACACTACGAAGCAGTTATTAAATGCCAGATATACATCGATCAGCCATAACATTAAAAACCACTGACATGTGAAGTGAATAACATTGATTGTCTTGTTAGAAGGCCATCTGTCATAGGTGCCATAATATATTAGGCAAGAGACTAGCCAATTCTTGAAGATGATGTAATGGAACCAGGAAAATGGGCAAGCGTAGGGATCTAAGCAACTTTGACAAGGGAAAAATTGTGATGGCTGGATGACTGGGTCAGAGCATCTCCAATAAGGAGATCTTGTGGGGTGTTCCCAGAATGCAGTGGTCCATACCTATCCAAAGTGGTCCAAGGAAGGCCAACCAGTGAACCGGGCAATAGGGCCATGGGCACTCGAGGCTCATTGATGCACGTGTGGAGCGAAGGCTGGCCCATCTGGTCTGATCCTACAGGATGGCTACTGTCGCACAAATTGCTGAAAAAGTCAATGCTGGCTATGACAGAAAGGTGTCAGAACACACAGTGCATTGCAGCTTACTGCACATGTAGCCACAGACCGACCAGAGTGCCCACGCTGACCCCTGTCCAGCATCGAAAGCACCTAAAATGGGCATGTAAGCAGCAGAACTGGACCATGGAGCAATGGCTGAAGGTGTCCTGACCTGATGAGTCACATGTTCTGTTACATCATGTGGACGACTGGGTGTGTGTGTGTCATTTACCTGGGGAAGAGATGGCACCAGAATGCCAGCAAAGGCAGTGTGATGCTCTGGGCAATGTTCTGCTGGGAAACTCTGGGTGCTGGCATCCATGTAGATGTTATTTCCACAATACCACCTACCTAAATGTTGTTGCAGACCAAGTACACCCCTTCATGGCTACAGTGTCTCCCTAATGGCAGTGACCTCTTTCGGCAGGATAATGTTCCCTGCCACACTGCAAAAATGGTTCAGGAGTGGTTTGAGGAACATGAAAAAGAGTTCAAGGTGTTGACTTGGCATCCAAATTCCCTACAGTAGATCTCAATCTGATTGAGCATCTGTGGGACTTGCTGGACAAAGAAGTCCGATTGATGAAGAGCCCCACCTGGCAACTTACAGAACTTTAAGGATCTGCTGCTAACGTTTTGGTGCCAGATACCACAGGACACCTTCAGAGGTCTTGTGGTGTCCAGGCTTTGATGGGTCGCAGCTGTTTTGGTGGCAATGGAGGTGCTTAAGTCCTACACAATATTAGGCAGGTGGTTTTAATGTTATGGCTGATCGGTGTATAATATATGAAGCAGGTTTGGAGTAAGCTCTGGCATAGATATAGGAGCATCCATCCTATTGGATGTTGTTGGCCTCCCTCCCACCCACAGAGTTCATTTGAGAGCCGTATTTCTTAACTGAGGATGGTTAGTGTGCCTTTGCCTCTGTGTGAGTAGTCCCAGAACGGGGATGTTCATAAGCCCCCGGCTAGGTGTAGGAATGTTGGAGCTCTTCCCGGCGAATAAGACAGACAGGTTCATTTGTTACAGTGGAAACCACTGACAGTTTTATGTGCACTGAACAGCAGGCCATATGATGCAAATTTCTTGAAGACTATTGGCACGCTTCTGGACAAGGTGATGAGCTTCTAGTAGTTCAGCTAGTCGACCACATTGGAGATTTACAGAAAGTAGAAACTCCCTGTTGATGAACGAAAGGAATCTGGTACTAGATAGTGAGACCAGATAATCCAAGCTGGGACACTTTGAGCTACTTCAGGTTTTACAAAATTCTTTAAAACTGAAAGGCTACTGTCCTCGGCCAAATAGTTCAGTTCTTGGGCTTTGACTGGTTTGTTTTCTTGATTGAAAGGCTCATCAGGCTGATTCACATTAACATTAGTGACACATGCATGATTATAGGAGACTGACCAATCAGCACATAGAAAGAATTCCATGCTTAAGTGAAATGCAAGCCCTTTTAATTTAAATGGTAGTTTACAAATTCTATCCTAGCTCAAAGTGTCCCCCTGGCATGGATTATCTGCTCACCCTGGTAGTAGGTCACCTTAGTTTCACGATCGGCTTCACTGTTGGGTGTCAGATCACATGCTTTCTGTTCTGCATGCCCAGATGAACCTTGATTACTAAAGTCAGTAATTAAAAGTTTCCTGGAATGTGCCGTGATACTCCTGGGTCTCTTGATTGGAAAGACAGATATAAGGTTACAGTCCTTCAAGAAAAACTCAAAACTCAGGAGGCATTTTATAAAAGTCATGGAGAATGACCTCAAAGCTTCTAGTGAAACATCTAGCATCTGAAGCACCTAAGCTTTACTGATATATACTTTTATTAAGATGAACTTTTATTGTGTGCTATCTTTTGATTGGATCTGAGTAGCCTGAGTGCACCATTTAAGATAAAGTTGTGTTACTTTGGTTATTTTTCTATGACGATTTTTACTTTATAAGCTTGACCAATCAGCACATTGAATTTTTATTGTTAAATTATAGCCAGTGTCCAGACCTCTTCACCCATCTCTTAGGGTGACCAGATAATCCATGTCAGGTAGGACACTTTGAGTTAGGACAGGGTTTGTAAACTACCATTTCAATTAAAAGGACCCAGATTTCACTTAAGCACTGAGTCCATGCTGTGTGCTGATTGGTCAGTGTCCCATAAACATGTGTCAGTAAGGTTAATATGAAACAGCTGAACAACAAAAGAAGCCAATCAAAGCACAAGAACTGAACTATTTAGCCAAGCAGAGGAGCCTTTCAGATTTAAAGTACTTTGTAAAACCTGAAGTAGGTCAAAGTGTCCTCCCTGACCTGGATTATCTGGTCATCCTCCATCTTTCCATCTTCCTTTGCCAGAGTTGGATACTTTAGGTCCATTAAAATTCAGACCAAGATTTTGTTTCAACCAATAAGTTAAGTACAGAGACACTATGATGCTTTATACGCAACTGGTTGGTTGAAACAAAATCATGGTCTGGATTTTTACTTTCTGGACCTGAACTATCTACTTTTATTCATTAGCAGTTCAAGGTTGTGTGGAACCTGTAGCCTGTTCCAGGAAGAGGACAAGGTAGGAACATCAAAGTACACCAGGAAACACCACTCATGTCATCCGCTGCCATTTAAACCTTTTTAAAAGTTATGTCATTAAGTGACGTTAGCATGCTAACCTTTTATTATGATAATAACACATGAGAATGTCTTGAAACCTCCATTCCCCAGTCGTGTTTCGGGGGGGGGGGGGGGGATATGCATATTTTCATTCCATCGGAGAAATGACACAGTTGATCCAACTCAACAATGGCCAGATTTATCAAGTTCGGAAATTTTCTTTTAGCAGTGAAGTTCCTGGCTATTTTATAGGGGCTGGATACGCTGCAGGCCTCTGGAAAAACAAGCGAGGATTCCTGCCTTAAACTGTATCTGTACAGTAAAAGAGAAACAAAGATACACTGTTTAGTCACGAACACCGGATGAATATTATACCCAATGAATTAATAGTTTGGGGGGCAAATTACTAGCTGTTTAGGTGCCCGCTGAAGAACATTCCAGAGGGTGCAACCATTATATTGGTTTGGTGAGCATTAGCCGGCATTTGTATGAATCTGTGTGAAGCAGAAATGTACAAAAATCCTGGGGCTGCACTCTGCCCCCCCATACATTTTCGGTGTGAATCAGGCAGAGAGACAGGAAGCGCTAGCAGCAGTCTGGAAGTTTCTTTAACTTTCTTAGCCACGCATAATTAGTTATAGCCCTTCTAAACATGACCGCCACCACCAAACACGCACGCGCGAACACACACACACACAGCAGTGGATTGAAATGACTTATTGAAATGTCCCTGAGTGGTGATGAAACCGACCTAAGCCTGAGG